GTCTCTCTCTCTTTAAAAAATAAATAAATAAAGTAATAAATCAAGTGTAAATTAATATTTTTAAAAAAAGAAAGAAAGTCATTGAGCAACAGGGGAACTGGAAGATGTGAGGGGGAGGGGAAGAATTACAGCTGAATTGTTTGAAATTGTGTGATTCATACGCCATACCTTTATATGTTGATGGAGAGTTGAATGGAACACTCATTTGTACTCTGCGAGGTGTAATTTAAAATGGGTGTGTAAAGCCACTTCTTAGCATGCATTCAGAGGAAGATGCATTTACCCCGGCCTTACCTCAGCAAGCCACCACCCTCTCCCTAAAATATGTGAGGAGGAAGGTCATGCTGATTTGACACCTAAGGTCATTATAGGAACCCTGCCCCACTCCTCAAGAATCTCATCCGTGTTAGTCAGCGTTCCATGATTATAACAAACTCCATGATTATAATCAACTAAAAAAGAGCAAAGATTTATTTTGGCTCCACATTTTGGAGATTCCAGTCCATGGTCATCTAGCTTCTTTGCTTTGGGGCCTGTGGCCAGGCAGCAGCTGTGAAGGAAGCTGCTCACCCCATGGCAGTGAGGAAGCAGTACCCCTGGGGTTCCAGTATCACCCCGGCCCAAGGCATGTCCTCGATGACCTGACTTCCTGCCACTAGGTTCTACCTCCTAAGGGTTCCACCACCTCGTAATAGCACCACAGGCTGGGGGCCCAGACATTCAAGATGCTCACAGAAGCACCACAGTATAGAGTGCTGCAATGATTAGGGCAGATGCTGCTCCTGGCCTCAGGGAGCTTACAGTCTAGCCAGGAGTACAGAAAGGCAGTTAAAATGCTGTGTGATAGGGATGGAGTTTTCTAAAGGATATTAATAGAAAAATATGACCAACATGAGCCCAGAGCGTAATTACCTTTACCTCTGAAACCTGGCATTTTAAAGTCTAATTAGAAAGAAGCAATGTAAATGTTGGAAAAATTGTTACATAAAGGGTCAGGAGAACCCGGTTTTATTCTTCCCACTGTCACTAACTACCTGTGTGATGTGGCTAGCTTCAACTTGCTCATCTATAAAGTAGAAATGATAGTATCTGTTCTACTAACTCATGGGATTATTATAAAGAGTTCATGAGATAATGTACATGAAGTGCTATGAACACATTCAAGTATTTCATTTTCCCATGCTGTAACGTGGCCTGTCTTTTTCCGCGCTCGTTCATTCAGCAAACATCTGTGACCCACCTGCATGGCTGACGAAACTGTTAGAGGCGACATGTGGCTCAGTTAGATTTTGTTGCACTATTCCATTCAGAGTATTTTTGCTTTATTGAGCATGAATTTTCACACTAAGTTGGAGTGGGTAGTGAGAGGGAAACTGCATCTGTTGATCCCCATTCAATGCACGGGCTCACCTTCCTTCTGTCATCCTCCTGGAAGGGCGGGTAGAAGTGACCTGGAAGGGCGGATAGAAGTGACCTGGAAGAACACGGGTGAGAAGCTTTGGACTTAAAACTTCACTTTATGCTTCATAGATTAGTTTAGCATCTGGAAAAACTCCTTTAATGACCTTATGGGATTATTGCTAAATTGTTCATAGATCCTTTCAAAATTCACATTATTCATTTTTCCAGCCGCTGGATAACCATCAAATGAAATCTTTGACATCAAAGTAGACAGAAAAAAACCTTGTAAGTACACACTCTTGCAGCAGCGTGTTCACTTGCGACCTAGTTCCATTGCTCTGGTGACCTAGTATTGGCAGCTCCCGAGCCCCTCACATCAGGTGGACATAGGCTCTCCTTCCCCTGAGTCTCAACAGTATTAGTAGGGAGTCTAATTGTCTTCCAAATGCAATTATTTCCGATTCTACTAAGGCTCAAAAAGAATGTCTCCACATCACACGCACCAAAGTGCATTTTTGTTTCTATATTTCCTCTGTCTTGCAGCATCACTTCCATGATTCCAGAAGGCAAGCGGGATCTTTCTGACTTCTACTTAACTATTTTCTCCATTTCCCCCTTTTCTTTTATCTACTGCTGCTGCCTGCGGAGTCTTTCTGAGTGATAGAGCTTTGTCTTTAGTAACAGACAGAAGATCAAATGAGGAAGGGTTGCAGGCATTTTGTTGCTACCTGGACCAAAAGCACAGCAAGTCAGTGTTTCTCTACTCCACCTGGGTCTTCCTGCGCCCCCTCCCATTACATTTCATTCTTTCTTTCTTTTTAATATTTTTTACTTGTAAATAATATCTGTATTTTATTTATTTTTTTTTTATTTTTACTTGGTGATGAGCAAGCGCTCTACCACTGAGCCCCAGCCCCAACATTCAGTATTTCTTTTTTTTTTCTTTTTTTAAATTTGTTTTAATTCATTACACTTGACAGTACAATGATCTTGACATATCATACATTTGAATCAGATGGGGTATAATTTTTCATTTTTCTGAGTGTACAGGTTGCAGAATCACATTGGTCCCAACATTCAGTATTTCTTACCTCTACCTCTGCGCCCTCCAAGCCCCAGATGTACCTCCAATTCTGTGTAAGCAATGATCTACAGCAGCCTGGGTTTTCTTTACAGAGTTACTTCTTCTTTTGTTCATGTTCCAATGGGAGTTCTAAGACTCTTCTTTCAACTATGTTTCTTTAACTGGCTGTGCATTCCTTGTTTTGCAAAATTCACTGCTTTTGCTTATTAAACATTTTTGAAAATTTTTTATTTTTATTCTTTGGAAGTCCTGACCTTTCCTCTACTATCTTTTAACAGTATTTCTTGGCTGAATGTTGTAGAACTCTTCCTTTTTGTGGTCCTTCAGTTGTGCTGTATCTGTTGCTCAGTTATATAGAAATCAGTAGAAATGACCAAAAATGAATAACCCGTTAGTACACATCCCCTTAGAGGGCTAACTACACCTTCCTCTGCCCTCTACCACCAGATGCCTCCACACATTATTTATTTATTTAAAGATGGGGGTCTTGCAGTGTTGCCCAGGCTAGCCTTGAACTCCTGGGCTCACGTGATGCTTCTACCTCAGTCTCCTAAGTACCTGGGAGCACAGGTGTGCACCACCATGTCCGGCTCCAACATATCATTTTTAAAGCATGTTCCCTGATGCCATATTCCTGTGTATCCAGGGTATTCTGTGTGGATCAAGTATAAAAAATCCTCTCTTCAGGTACATTTGAAATAAAACAGTACGGTTTCCTTCACAATGTAGGAAAAGCTCTTTGGAGGAGTTGGGCCTCACAAGTTCCTTTCATCCTAGTGAGAGTAGCCGAGATGCAGAAGTAGTGAAGAGACCTGATGTGACTTCAATCAGGTGACGGCCATGTGGGTCTGGTGAGAACCAGCGCATTTGAGATCCAAGCAGCTCTGCTGTAATCCACCACCAGATTCATTTCTTAAACCCAAAAATCTGTTTCAGGAGAGCTGATGCTCAGGATTCCCAGGTGGCGCTTCTGCAGGTGTTAGACGTCAGCCAACCTCGGTGGGTCCTTGTGTACGGGTCCTCTTGTCCTCCTTCCTAAGGCACAGTGTTGATGTCTAAAAATAAAATCATCAAATGGCTCTTTTGAGTATAAAACTCAGTTATAAAACCCAAGACATAGTTTTCTTTCTCAAGCAATTAAAATTTACACCTCCTTCTGGATCATTTGTTCTGGAACAAAGCTTACTCTGTTTCCATCCATTGATACTTATATAGTTCTATTGAAGTAAATTATAAAAACATCTTTTGAAACAAAAACAGATAACTGTTAACCTATAGGTGCTATTGCTTTTCTTCCCCCACCCCCCGCCTTATCTGTCCCTTTAAAAAAAGGAGTCTAGCTGGGGGCAGTGGTCCATGCCCTTAAATCTAGCCACTCAAAGGGTTGAGGCAGGAGGATCACAAGTTCAAGGCCAGCCTCAGCAATTTATCAAGGACCTAAGCAACTTAATGAGACCCTGTCTCAAAATAAAAAATAAAACGGCTAGGATTGTAGCTCAATGATGAAATGCCTCTGCATTCAATCCTCAGTACCATTAAGAAAATGAAAATAAATAAATAAATAAATAAATAAAGACTTGGGAGGTAGCTCAATGGTAAAGTGCCCCAGGGTTCAATCCCCAGGACCAATCAAAAAAAAAAAAAAAAAGGATGAGAATATTTCCTGTATTAATTTCCCTTTGTCTTTCTAATTTTCTTAATCTGGAAAGTACCCTGTTGGGATACCTTTTTTAATTTCAGGAAGAATACACAGTTATTGAGATCTTGAATCTTAGAAAATAATGCATAAATGGATCCAGTATATGCAAATCAGCCTGCCCTTTCATACTATCTGTGGTCTTACAGTTTGTTAAATGCTCTGAAAATCAAGGGCCTAGTTTTCTTCTAAGAGCTACTGAGTAAGAAGGTAGAGTTTTGACAAAATTCCTAAAGTAAAGCTCCTCTCTTGTTGTATCTCATTGATTAGAATATTCATTTTTATTATTATGTCTTTGTGGAATTTGTTATGTTTTAATCAAGTAAATATGCATGTATAGATTAATATAGGAAGGTTGCATTTGCCTAAAAAATGATTTTTTTAAATTTTTGGTTGTTGGTAGACCTTTATTTTATTTATTTATTTATTTATAGATGTGGTGCTGAGAATCAGTGCCTCACACATGCTAGGCAAGCACTCTACCACTCAGCCACAACCCCAGCCCTAAAATAGTGATCTTGCAAAAACTTTATTGGTCTAGAAGTAAAGTTCAGTAGCATATGGGTTAAGTCATGGAGGAAGGGATCTCATTTTTTAAAAAAGTATTATTTAAACACCGTGTAGGAGCTGGGAATTGTATAGCTCATTCTAACACACATAAGGTCCCAGATTCAATCCCTAGCCCTACAAGAAAAGGAAATATAAAATAAAAACAATGAATTCTCAGATTACCAATGGAAGCTTGAGTAATTCCTTTCTGAAACTGAGAAATCAAATTCTCTTGTGCTTGATTTTTGTGCTTTTATCATTTATTTTTAGGAACCAAAGGAAGAAATAAAGGAGAGTTTACGAATCTTCAGGGGGTAGCTGCATCTACAACTGGAAAGATATTAATTGCAGACAGTAACAACCAATGTGTCCAGGTAGAGTCCCTACTGTGTACCTTTAACTACTTATATTAATAAAACCAATAGAGTTACATATTTTCCTACTTTAGACTTAAGATTCATAGTACAAGGAAAGAGCCTTTTTTTTTTCCATGTTCGTTCACACATATTCTATCCTTTAATTTGATGTGTAAATGTAGAACAAAATCAAAATAAACAATATAAATTTTGATATTGGTTATAATCAGATTGTAGAATCTGGAAATAAGTAATTATATCTTTAAAACAATCTAGAATATTAATTCATTGCATAAATTATCAACAAATCTGTTATATACTTTAACCATTTAGCACAACATTTTTTTTTAGGAATCATATAAATGCATGCATAATGTTAGTATACATTTTAGAACATTTAAAAGAATTTTATAAGAAGTTCATAAGGCAACAACATATATTGCTAAGGCCCAAACCAGATCTAGACAACCTGGCAAGTAACACTGCTGACAGGCAGACAACTGAACTGGCCTTTCTACAGCACCACCTACGGGCCACTCTAACCCAAGCGACTGCTATCGCAATTCATTTCAGTCACTCAGTTCCCGTAAGACAAGAACCTTTTTGTGTTCATTTCACATTTATCTTTTCAATAGTCTGAACAGATCTTCACAGTACTATTCCAGAATAAATTTGTGCTGAAATTGATTAAACTATACGGATTAATGCTGCCTTTAAATCAGTGGTTGTTTTCTTTTTTAAAAATTCATTCTGATTTGTTATATGTGACAGCAGAATGCATTTCACTTCGTATTACACGTATAGAACACAGTTTTTCATATCTCTGGTTGTACACAATGCAGAGTCACACCATTCATGTCTTCAGACATGTAGTTAAGGAAAGAGCCTCTTTCTAATATTTATTTTTTGGTTGTAACTGGACACAATATCTTTATTTTATTTATTTATTTTTATGTGGTGCTGAGGATCGAACCCAGGGTGAGCGAGGCAAGCGCTCTACCACTGAGCCACAGTCCCAGCTCTAAGAGCCTTTTAATGTGTCTGTAGGCTTTTCTTAAACAGTGAGGGCATGTCCTAACCTATAGTATCTATGACGGATCTCCTTGCCTGTTTCTTCCTGAGTGGTTTCTATGAACATTCCAATCAACATAAATTGTTTTACAGATATTTTCCAATGATGGCCAGTTCAAGAGTCGTTTTGGCATACGAGGACGCTCTCCCGGGCAGCTGCAGAGGCCCACAGGAGTAGCCGTGCACCCCAGTGGGGACATAATCATTGCAGATTATGATAATAAGTGGGTTAGCATCTTCTCATCAGATGGAAAGTTTAAGGTAAGCTCAAGTATCAACAGACCACTAAACCATAGAGAAGAGGAAATAGGAAATAAAAGTTGAAATGGTCTTTTTCTTTTTTAAATCCAATCCAATGTTCAACAATTCTTCTTATACAAAGACATCTGATATCTAAATTTTGTAAAATGAGAATAACAATGATTGTTTTTATAAACCTGCTCATACAGATGCTCATAAATGTGTTTTCGTTTTATAGAGCAATTAGTTTGCACAGGTACTTTTTTTAACCAGATTTAGAGGAAAACTGTCCTTATGACCCCATTTCAATGAAAAACATCATCCTTTCGAAAAGGGTTAGGAAGAAGCAATTTATAAACCTTGCATTAACCTATAACTTGTCACATAGAAGTGCCTTCTACTTTCTCAGGCCTGAAACAGATGACATGGAAGAAACAGAATGAAACAGAATCATAAGACATGGTTTCTGCCTTCTAAAAAATGTATAGACTCAGGGAGGAAAAAAGATAAATATACAAGAAAGGACAGGAAATAATTCATGGCAGTCTCTAATCAGTCATAAGTTATTTCATACCATCTAAAAACATTGTGCTAAGGAACATAAGATTTGAAAGGAAAAGAAAATGGAGGCTGAACTTAAAGAAAAGATGCAGGTTGAGCTACACTTTGAGGGATCCTGCCATCATTTGACCTGTTTGCTGTTACTCCCACTATCATATTTATGGAAATGTAAAAATGGTTTTGGTGTTAATCAGCTTTCTGTTGCTGTGACAAAATACCTGAGAAAGTCAACTTTAAGAGGAAGAGAGACCCATTTTGGTTTATAATTTTGAAAGCTTCAGTCCCTCGTTGTTTGGCCTTATGGTTTTATACCCATTGTGGAATCATCACAGTGGGTAAGCAGGACATAGGAAACTGCTCACTTCATAGTTGCAGGGAAGCAAAAAAAAAGAGGAAGGAGCCAGTATCCCCTTCACAGGTACATCCTGAATGCTAACTTCCTCCTCCTAGGCCCTAGCTCCCAACAGCACCACATGCTGGTGACCAAGTCTTTAACATATGGCCTGGAGAATAATTTAAGTTCCAAACCATCGCAGCTTCTATTTCTTCAATGAGTCACCAAAGACAGCCCAGTGGTAATAACAGAAATCTCTCTTCCAAGGTGTCATCCAGAATTGTTATCATCCAGTCCATTTTGTACATTAAAAGTCTTTTTGAAGACCTTATATATTATGCCTTCCATATTCCCCTTATTCAAACTATGAGAGACTTCTGTTTGAATTGACAGTATGAACTTTTACTCAGACAAATCAAGCAACTAGAAACCCAGCTCTCTGGCTTATTAATTCTTTGGCTTTCATCAAATTATGAAACTTCCTTGAACCTCAGCAGCTGCATATTTAAAATTTGGATTAAAAAAAACTTATAGGATCTGAGTAAGGACTAAATGAGGTTTTATTTCTGGATGTCATATGAGCCTCATACTAAATAAATATCTAAGAAATGTTCTTTTCCATGCCTTTCATAACCCCATTCAAAAAAAAATGAAGTCTGTTTGAGCAGCCATGATTTTGACTCCAGGATGTCATGTGGACTCCTGGTGGTCATTATTTCCAACCTAATACTCTAGAGAGGCCACTTTTCATGACCCATTCTGGTTCCCTGATGATGGCACAAAGTTTGCTGTTAGTGTTTTGTCATCATATTTGGGTAAGACATACCCAAATGTGACAACTCTAATATGGATGCAATGAAAACTCTTGAGTGACCTCTCCAAAGCCTTCATGTAGTTTGGAGGCAACCAGTTTGTTCTTGTTTCAGACTCCAGAAAAATCATGGTCTGTCTGTACCTTCAGTAGCTAAAACTGAAATAGGTTTCACATATGAAGGCAGGAGTGTGATATCTAAGAGAGAAGCCTTTCCTCAAGTAAGCTTTGTGTACACCACTGTTCCATAATCTACTGTAACATACTGTCTTCTTGGAAGAGTAGTATATACTTTACTATGTAATATATACTATATTACATGTATATTACTATGTATTATATACACTCTTCTTGGAAGAACTGGAGGCTTGGAGTTGGAATAATATTGCTATTAGTTGGAATAAATACTAAAAACCACTCTCACCCTCTGGAGGAATGGGAAATTGGATATGGTATAGTTTCTGCAATACTCTGATTGCTGATCAGAACCCAGTGGTAAAAGGATAGCAAGCAAAAATACTTTAGTATTACAAATAGAGTTCATTCAAGTGTGAAATCTTACTATCAAGATATTGTTGCTCTTTTTCCTTCGGTAAAATTAAACAAGTGAAAGACATCTTTAACCTCACTGCAGATTCTTTCTATTCATTCCTAATAGTTGCAGAGATGTAACATCTTATTTTTTTCCCTCTCTTTTATTCACTGATGGCTTGTGTCAAGTTTTATTCCTCTCTGCCTCCTTTAAGGTTTTACCTTTTCATCTTCCCTCCTGGCTTGAATCTTCTAGTCCATCCAGGAACCTTTGTGATCAAAACAAACACAGAATAGATATGGTGGTGGTCCCCATGGCCGCCATATTCTAAAATAGCTCGTCTCTTCCCTCTTCGATTTAAGAACTTTATTGTTCAGTTAAATACTCTCATTTGATCATTCCAAAGCCAGTTTAGAGGTTTTTGCTTTTTATTCTAACAGAGGGGACGTAGTCAATCCAGATGATTTTTATTTTACTGGTAGAATCCAGTGTAGCAAAACCAGAGTGATAGTGGAAGGTGGAAGGAAAAGAAGTTTGGGTTCAACATGTAACTAGTTCTTTTAGGTCCACCCTGGTGGCCATTACATGACAGAATGGAGGGCATACCTTATTGTCCGTTTTTGTTCTAGATAGTTATCCATTAGGTATTGTGTGGTTGCATCATTCCAAGTAACTGCTAGTGATCATAACATCGGGTGGTGGTAATCAGATTGCCGGATCTGCTTTTGATCTCTGTTGACGTCCCTTCCATTCAGACATGAAAGAATTATGCCATTTCTTTACATGCCATTATGCTGTAGCCTCTTTGATCTCTGGGCTAGATTGCAGAATCAGAATCAAATTTACACAACAGATCCTTTTGCCAAGAAAACCAGGGTTTCCTTGCTCTGATTGTATTCCTTTGTCCAAAGAGATTAAATCTGAATCTCAGTCATTTATAAACTTGAAGAATAAAGGGTTGTACCAAATCTGAATCCCTACTATGAGAAAGCACCCACCCTCTGCTACTAAATTTAGAGGTCTGGGGTCGAACCTATGAGAATGTTATGAGGGGTTTGTTAATTTTTAATTTAAAAAGTTATACATGCAAATAGGCTTTTAAGATGTGCCTAAGAGTATAAAATGAACAGTGAGTGTGCCTCCTGCCACCACTAATACCGCTTTCTAAGGTAGAGACACTGGTTTCTCACTTTTCCTTACAGAAGTACCATTGTCCCTTGGTGTCCATGGGGGATTGGTTCCAGCAACCTCCCACTCCTTAGATAACAAACCTGAAGATGCTCAAGTCCCTCAGATAAAATGGTGTAGAATTTGCATGGAACCTAGTCACATTCTCCTGTATATTTTAAATCATCTCTAAATTACTTATAATACCTACTACAATGTAAATGGCAATGTTAATAGTGTTATGCTATATTGTTAAGGGAATAGTGACCAAAAAAAAAAATCTGTATAAGTTCAGCACACACACAGAGACTTTTTTCTTTTGTCTTCTAAATATTTTCAATCTGAGATTTGTTGAGTCTGCATTTGCAGAGCCCAGGATGCTTGGGCTGACTATACATACATGCCTGTGTGCATACACTTAACCCAAGTGGACTCAAGACTGTACTCCCTACTCAGTACCTTGCTTTGTTCAATAATATAGCTGAAAGAGCTCTCATAAAAACACACATAAATGTGTTTCCCTCTGACGCTGGAGGCATGGGTGCCAGTGTGACAGAGACATCCTTGAGGCAGAAGCTGTGTCTTATCTGTGTTTATTTACCACAAGCCTGGAACACAATATCGAGTACATGGTGGGTGCTCAGGTCTGTAGAGCTAGTAAGTAGAGGTTAAGTGCTTGAAGCAGTTCTTTATGAGCGCTCTAAAATGGAGGTAGAAAAATGAGACTAAGTTAAACTGCATCTCCAACATGCATTTATGTATTCACTAAATTTAATTGATTCAGGAACATGAATGAAACTTAAAGTGTTTATGATATATGGTTGATAGCAATCTCATGCTTTTCTGTCCTTTTAAAATAAAATGAAGAGTGAAACCATTTCATCATGATTACCCACTAATAATCTAGTCTTTTAAAGTTTATTTAGTAAATACTTGTTGAGTACCTGTTATACACCAGGAAGTGGTAGATAAAACAGATGTGACTTCCACTCATGTGGAACTGAATTCTAGTCAAGGTCAGTGGGAGATGCCTGGCAGTTTCAACATCAAGAGTGCTAGGTTACAATAGCAACAATGGCTTCCTTTTAGTGAGTGCTTACTGTGTGCTCTACATTAAACCCTTTACCTACATTATTATTATTTTTTAAATTTTTGTTAGTTGTCAGTGTACTTTTATTTTATTTATATGTGGTGCTGAGAATCGAACCCAGTGCCTCACACATGCTAGGCAAACACTCTCCACTGAACTACAACCCCAGCCCTACCTACATTATTTTACTTAACACATATTCCAGAAGTACCATTGAAAGTTTAATAACACAGGTTGGTGGGAGTTTTTTGACTTTTTTTTTAATAGATGAGAAATCTGGAAATTAAAGCAATTAAATTTGGGCCACATCGGGGGTGCTGAAAGCAGGTGACAGCAGCAGGACAGTTCTCTGACTCCTAACCCAGTGACTGACCTGTCACTCAACTACACCGCCTCTTTAGAAGAGGGCATTGTGACCCCAGGCTAGGAAATTCTAGAACATGTTTGGTGGTGGCGATCCCTTTTCAAAAATAAGATTTTCATATAAATACTCATAGCAGATACTAGATGTGACAAAACCAATTTGCTGAGACAGAGATCACTGGGTGCCTGAGTACCTGTGCGGCCTGAACATTTGAGCCGACGTTAATGAAACAGTGTCTGACTTCATGTTCTCTAGTGTTTTAAACTTTGAGGTCTGTACTCAGTTTCTGCACTTGTCTCTAACAGACAAAAATTGGATCGGGAAAGCTGATGGGGCCCAAAGGAGTCTCTGTGGACCGCAACGGGCACATTATCGTGGTGGACAACAAAGCATGCTGCGTGTTTATCTTCCAACCAAATGGGAAAATAGTCACCAGGTTTGGTAGCCGAGGAAACGGGGACAGGCAGTTTGCAGGTACACTCGACGGTAATACGTAAACCCCCTTTTTTATGCTTCTTCTGCTCACATTTGCATGATGGAGCATGTTGAAGACGCCACATCCCCAGGGTGTTTGCTGGCTTTGGGGAGAGATGCTGGGGATGAAATCTAAGCTGAAGCATGCTTCGATGCTTTTCAGTTACTCCACCAGTAAGTCAGACTGCAATTCATGTGTGGTTGCTGTGGGGTCCCAATTCACAGTGCACAAGTCTGCTCCTCAAATATTGATGTTAGGTAAAATATGCATTTAAAATAAAACATTTTAAAAATAAAACTCTTTGAGGAACAGTGGAGTAACTCCTGTTTTTCATAACTGAATTTTTATTTAAAGAGCCTCTAGTTGGAATTTATTTCACCTAAGTGATTATGAGAACAAGGGTAAGGGTTCAGAATGTTTGCCAAGTGCGGGGAGGAAGTCTCTTACTTCTCTTCTGGGAGTGCCACTTAGGAATCACAAGCTTCGGTTTTCTCACATCTGCAAGAAGAGGCTGAACACAGTTCATTTTCATTTTGAAAGGATGCTTTGGGCATTTTACATTCATTTGCATAATCTTTCTTTGTGGCTTTGTCTCCAGTTCTTTGTCCTGCCAGGTTCTGAATGTCACTCCAAATTATGAAAGTGGGTTTCCTGCTCAGTTTTTTAGAAAAGAAAAATTACATACTGGAGTCTCTTTTCCAGGGCTAAGTGTCCTCATATCTTTCCTTAGTAAACACTTTTTTTTTTTTTTAGGATCCTAAAAAAAGACTAATGTATTCAGAGAAGCTGGCAGGTGTGACTTTCAGATGATGGTGTGGAGAATGAATTCTGATGCTTACTGCTGGTCCTACTTTGTTAGGGCTGCTGGAACTCTTTGCTTGATCTGGGAGAAGTCAGACTAGACAATCCCAAGTGCAGAATAACATAGGATCCACATTATCTAGAGCACAAAGGGCTGGCTATATGATCATGCAGGGATGGGGGTCTCTGGTTATTTGTTCTTCCTTAAATAATCAAGTTAATGTATTCAGTTTGTTATTGTTATAGTAACTGCTCTGTTGCAATTATTTTTGTTGTTTTAGTCATTACATAATTTTTTTTCCATTTTTTATTGCAGGTCCTCATTTTGCAGCTGTAAATAGCAATAATGAGATTATTGTTACAGATTTCCATAATCATTCTGTCAAGGTACTATGAACACATCAGTTGTTGTTTACTTTTTTTTTTTTTCTTTTTTAAGCTGCTTTTATGGAGAAATTGGTCTGGGAGAGAACAACATACAATACTTACATAGACACACAAAATTTAAGGAAATCAACCTCAAATGAGTAGATTTTGCTTATGCTTAAAAATGCAGATTTTCATGTGGACATACAGACTTCAAAGAGTCAAGGAATTGAACAAAATACAGTGGCAGTTGCTTTATTAAAGATGATTAGAAAATTTATCAAAGATGACCTGAAAATTAAGTCTTAAAAAACAATTTCTTGAATGTAGAAACAGAACTTTCTGAAACTTAATATTTTGTGGCTATCTGACAGATTAAAACAAAAATCATTTTTTTCAATTTTCATGAACCAAAATGCCTTTAAAATAAAATCTATTAGAATTGTGCTACAACAGACTTGGGGGAAGTGGGTTAGGAATTATGTATATTCGTATGGTATATTTCATAGTTATACCTTCACACATTTGGTATTACTTAGAAAATAATGGCCTTTTTAAATAATATAGTACATCCTTCTTACTGAGTACAGGAAGAGAAAAATTTATACATTATTATGAGGAAAATCAAGAACTAATAAGGTAACTCAGGCATATTTCTTATGACGAGAAAACACTTATTGATCTTCTTGACCACTGACGTATGTCACGTGGCCATGGCAGTGCTCTGACACACATATTTGGTTTTTTATAAATCTTACTATTTATTGACATATTTTAATGTGTTAATTTTTAGGATGATTAGGACTAGGGATGTAGCTCAGTGGTAGAGCGCCCCCTACACCCACTGCAGATAAGCTGCATTCCCTGTGGTCCCACTCTAAGGGAGGTGTCTAAAGGAAGAGGATGATAGGAAAATTCCCCTGGGATGGGTGGAGGAGGAGGAGGGGGAGGGGGAAGGGGGAGGAGGAGGAAGAGGAGGAGGAGGATAGCAAAAAGGCATCAGGAAGTGAGCATGTCCCTATCTTCAGGGGCCATAACACTGCTGTAGAATGAGCTCATATTTCTGTGAGGGGGTCGCTGTGGGACAGCTTCTATTGATCAGCTCTGATTGACACTTTTTAGAACACAGGCTGTGATCCTTCTTCCTACCCTCCATCACTCTTTAGAGGAACCATTTGTTTAGCTCCAGGGCATTCAACAAGAGCAAAACCCAGAAAGATCCTCACAGGGGCAGAGGCTAGCAAATGCCTGGCATAAGTGCTGCCCTGACACCCACCCACCCACCGGAAGACAATGATTAATCCAGTTGCTCTTTTCCATCAAGCTACTTGGTGGCCTCAGAGTCTTTCCTGTCCTATGCTCCGGGCAGCCTCTATGGATCAACAGTTTGTAGTGGGACAGCTCCTATTAATCAGTCCTGACACTCTAGAAACATATGTAAGTAACCAAAGTGCTAGGCAGACAGCAATAATGATTTCATAAAAATAGGGATGTGTAAAATTCATGATTCCAGAGAAAAGATTTATAGGAGGTTGGAAGTATTTGGGAGGCCAAGGGCCCAGCTCTTGGGGGAGCGGGGGAGAGAGAGAGAGAGAGAGAGAGAGAGAGAGAATGTATTTGTATAATTAGGGCTAGAGTTATCAAGAAAAACTTTCATATCATTCAGGTATTTGACATGATGAAGATTTTGAAATCAAGAAAGAATTATTATGTTTTGAACAACTAATAATAAAAAAAAGAATTATTGTCAGGTTTTTTTAATGCTATAAATACTTAACAAAGAGCAAGTTATAAAAATCTCAGCTCACATTTCTGCCTCTTAATATGTTTTCACCTGAATCATTTGTAAGTAATTCAATGACTTTTAGATGGAAAACAAAATATGAGAAATTTATAGTCATTAAAGTTCTGAAAACTCACCAAGTTCTCAAGACAGTAGAGTATTTTAATTCTTTAAACCCAGTTTTCTTCTTAGTTAAGAAAGTCACAGCCATTTGTTTTTCTCTTCTCTCTGATAGCTACTGACGTGCAACTTCTCTGAAATACGTGGGCTCTTTGGTTTCCCACGTGGCAGCAGTAGTTCTGAACTCAGGTCACTTCCCTGTTGGTAAATGTAAAAACTGTGCTCGTAAGTCAGTGCTGCCAAGTAAGTCTGCTCTAGTTAGTTCTTTAGCTATTTACAGTACTTTTCCCCCCCTGACGCTGGGGATTGAACCCAGGCCTTCACACATCAGGCAAGTGCTCTACGACTGAGCTACACTTCCCAGCCCCTGCAGTACATGATTGGGGAATAGTTCCAAGACCCCCGGGGAGCGCCCAAAACTGTACAGTACCACACTCTATGTAAATACTATATTTTTCTTATTTATACCTATGATGAAGTTTAACTTATAAATAAGGCACAATAAGCCATTAACAGTAATCACTAATAATGGAATGGAACAATTAAAATGATATGAAGTTACTTATCACTTATGAACTGTTTATTTCTGGAATGTTCCACATCATATTTTCCTGCTCCAGTGGTATAGATAACTGAAACTGAAGAAAATAAAACCCCAGGTTAGGGGAGATGACTGTATATATTTTCTTTTTATTATAAAACAAGTAAGGCAAGATTCAGCATTCTCCATTATTCTCATGTGAAGAAGCAGCAGTTATGCCAAGGAAATACAGTGACTCAGATAAGTACAAACAAACTTATTATTTGTAGGAATTAATCAGGGAAAGATCAGAGAATAATAAATGTGTCTTCAACAGCATAGACACATTCCCATTGGCCTTTTTCTTTTATATATTTTATTTGTTCCCATTGGTCTTTAAAATTAGAAGGATGTGAATAAAAGGTGACAGAAAGAGTCAGGGTACTTTTTTTATGCTTTAGTTTTGGGGAGGTAGAGGGGTTATGTGTGCCGGAAATTAAACCCAGGTCCTGGACGACCGTGCTAGGCAAGTTCTGTACCACTGAACCACACCCCAGCCTTCAGTCAGGGAAAACTTAAAATGCCATAGTGAAAGCTGGTTGTTCTTATGTCTGTTCCTTGTGAAGACAAAGAGGTCCTCAAAGGTTCTGAGCTCATCCTCAGATTAGATCTACGCTCACATATGGTGAACTTTCTCAGGCCACATTTAAGTCATCTCTACTCTAAAGGTACCTGGAGTGTAGTCCTTTTGGATTTGTTAGTGACTGTCTCTGTGCATCTAGACATCATGGTGATGGATGTTTAAAATCAAGTCTCAAGAGACATTTCAGAACCATTAAGTATCATCTAAGCATCAAGACAGAATTATATTTACTGTAGTGTTATCATTAAAATGTTAATGATAACATTAACACATTAAAATGTTAATTATCTCAAAATCAGTACTCTGTATTATATATAATATATATAAAATATGTATACACACATACACAAACATATATATATATAAACATAGTAACACTGTATTAATAAAAATATTTACTTAACCACAGCAAATCCCATTGCTTGATCACGAATTCAAAGCCAGCCTCAGCAACTTAGCAAAGCCCTAAGCAACTCAGCAAGACTCTGTCTCTAAATGAAATATAAAAAAAGGGCTGAGGATGGGCCTCAGTGGTTAAGTGCCCCTGAGTTCAATCCTCAGTACCAAAAAGAAAAAAGCGTTCTATTTATCCCCTCACTTCTAACAATCTCTGTAGGTTCTGTGGGTCAAAGCCTTAGAATCATATAGACTACCTATATTAACTGGAATAAGTCCTTTGCTTACTCTTCACCTGCTACCATTGTGCAAGTGGCTGTGCATACACACACACACACACACACACACACACACACACACACACACACGTGCGCGCGCGCACACACTCTGACTCTCCTCTTGTATGGAGTCCAGCCTCCGCTTTCTTGTTATGTGATGTAGGAAAACAGTAATAGATTCTGAGCTTTCTGACCTAACAAAAACCCCCTTTCTGGTCTAAACTGAATGACTTTCTATCCCACTGGAAATACAATCTCCATTCTTGAAATTGAGCTGTTTAAGTCAGAAAGAATAATATTGCTGAAAATTATAGCTCTACTTACTCATACCACCTTATATTTGTATTTTATGATTTATAACAAAAGTATTTTTCACATCAGTACTTAATAACTAGATATAAACCGTAAAAAAGAGAAGAGTGACTTAAATAAATTATGAATCAGGTTTCTGTAGTACGTTGAAGAACCATAAGTGATAGACAGCTTCAGGTTGTAGATTTACTTTTTTCCTTATATTACAGGTTTTGTTGCAAGTAACCTGTTCAGAGAGATATTTTTTAAGTCCCCAATGTTGGGTCCATGATTTTAATGTAAAACAATTTAAAAATATTTCCACAGGTGTTTAATCAGGAAGGAGAATTCATGTTGAAGTTTGGCTCCAACGGAGAAGGAAATGGGCAGTTTAATGCCCCCACAGGTGTAGCAGTGGATTCGAATGGAAACATCATTGTGGCAGACTGGGGAAACAGCAGGATCCAGGTACAATGAACACTCATCATGTATATGGTTAGATGTTAGGATTTGTTCAAAATGAAGAACTGGCTGTCCCCCAGATTGGGGGTGTTTTCCTTTCTCCACTGGTTAAGTCACCAGAAGGACCAAACAATGCAAGCTGGACTAGACCAAAGGCACATGCCTACAGCAGGAGATCCTCTATTTCAGGGCTTTCAACGTGGATCCCATAGAACCCCAATTTAGGTTCATTTATGGATGGAATTCAAAAGATTCATTGAGCATAAATACTACATTCTTATTTTTACTAATTTCTGAGTGAAAATTGTCATTTCCCTTTATTTGTTAACAATCTAAGGTAACAATCCACAGTAGTTTTAGTAATACCTATGATTTTGTCACCAAGAAAAAAATCAAAAGAAATTTTTATGTCACATTACATTTGATGCAGACACCCCCAGTTGTCACTTATACTCATCATTACCATAAAATTATAGTAATTATTAAGCCTTTAGCTAGTCCTTGTTATTTAGCGTTTCAATTTAAAAAGCACACATAAGCCAGGTGCAGTGGCGCATGCTTGTATTCCCAGAGGCAAGAGGATTGGAAGTTCAAAGCCAGCCTCAGCAACTTAGCAAGGTCCTAAGCAACTTAGACTCTGTCTCTAAATGAAATACTAAAAGGGCTGGGGATGTGACTTAGTGGTTAAGTGCTCCTGGGTTCAATCCCTGCTACCAAAAAAAGAGAGAGAGAATTCTGTAAACACTCTACATATTACAGATTTAACTGCTTAGATAAAATGGACAATTTATCAGAAACTACAAATTCTATAACTCACTCAGTATGAAATAAATAATTTGAATAGCCCTATAACTGTTAAGGAAATTTAATTCATAATTTTCAAACTCTCCAGAAAGAAATGTCAGGGTTCAGATGGTTTCACTGAAGAATTCTACTGAATGTTTAAAGAAAAATTAATGCTAATTCTACATAGTTTCTTCCAGAAAACAGAAAACAAGGAAACACTTTCCCAACTCACTTTCAATCCTGCTGCTGAAGTTGTGATAGCAAAATCAGACACAGACAATACAAAAAACAAAACTACAGACATACATATTTCTCATAAATATACCGTGTTCATCCCAGAATTTTTAACAAAATACTGAGAAATGGAATTCAGCAATATGTAAAAATCCCTCTATGACCAAGTAGAGTTTATTCCAGGGATGCAGGGCCAGCTTAGAATTTAAAAATCAGTCAATATTAATCCACCATATTATAAGTCTAAAGGAGAAAAATTATGATATTAATTGATGCAGAAAAAACATTTGACAACATTTGATACACTTTCATGATGGAATAAAGACTCTTTCTCTACTTGATAAAGAACATCTGTGAAACCTTTGGTTAGCAGCTTTGTCTTGGGTGAACATCTGAACAACTTTCGTATATAATCGGGGACTAAGCAAGGATGTCTGTCCTCACCATCCTTATCCAACATAGTACGGGAAGGTTCAACCAGCACAATAAAGAAGAAATAGGAAATGAAAAGTTGGAAAGGAGAAAATTTAAAACTTTGCATGTTCGCAAATAAAGGATCATTTACATGAAAAATGCCAAGGAATCTCTAAAAGTTTCCTAGAACTAATAGGGGAGTTGAGCCAGATCACAGAATAACAGATCAACATAACAAAAATCAGCTGTACTAGTGTGCTTCCAATGAGCACATGGAAGCCAAAAATTCAAAATATAATACCATTTACAATTGCAAAAGAAAAAGAAAAATTGAAATATTTAGGTATAATAACAAAATATATCCAGTATTTATATGCTGAAAACTATAAAATGCTGATAAAAGAAGATCTAAATAATAAAGGGATAGACAAAGGATGTTCACGATGACAAGACTCAACAGGGATGGATCAACGTGAAGCACCATCAACTGACTCCGATTAATATACAGGTTTTTAACACAAAATCTAAGCAGTATTTTTTTGTAGATAACAAAAAAGATTATTTTAATATTTATATGGCAAAGCAAAGAAACAGGAATAGCTAAAACAATATTGAAAAAGAAAAATAGATTGAGAGGAATTGCTTCTCTGGGTTTCTATATACCTGCATTAATCAGCCTGTGTGGTACTGGTGGAAGGACAGACACATCCACAGGACACAATCCAGAAATGGCCCCCACACGTATGGCCAACTGATTTTTTTGAGGAAGACATAAGAGCAATTCAATGGATGAATGACAGACACCCTTTTCAACAAATGGGACTGTCGAAAGCAAGATAACCACTAAGGCAAAATAAATAAATCTCATAAAAAAATTATCTCAAAATGGATCATAGGCTTAAATGGAAAGCTAGAAAACTTTTTGGAGATTGTGTTTTAGAAAACAAACTTTTAAAAGATTTTAGGAGAAACTCTTGGAGACTTAGGGCTTGGTGAAAAGGTTTTTAACAGGATGCCTAAACTACTATGCATAAGGGGAAAATCAATAAATTAGACTTCATCAAACATAAACATCTGGATCTGTAAAAGAGATAAGGCTAAAAATAGAGGCAAACAGACATGGGAGAAAATATTTACAATCCACATTTTTTTTCCAACTTTTTTTATTGGTGCATTATAGTTATACATAATGGTAGAATTTGTAGTTACATAGTCAAACATGCACACAGTGTAACAATATAATTTGGCCAATATGGGTCCCCAGTATGTCGCCCCTGCCCTCCCCCATCCTCCCATGCCCTGTTCCCTTTCCTGTTTTTATTATTTCTCTTTGATTTTCATGAGATCCCCTTCCCCAACCTTTCTGTCCCTTTTTCCTCTCTAGCCTTCACATATTCAAACCACACTCCTGATGAAGGGCTTACACCTTGTGTGGGTAAAGACTCAGAACTGCCAGGTGCAGTGACACATGCCTGTAATCCCAGCAGCTCTGGAGGCTGAGGCAGGAGGATTATGAACTCAAAGCCAGCCTCAGCAACTTAGCGCTGTAAGCAACTTAGGGAGACCCTGTCTCTAAATAAAATATAAAAATAGTCGGGGGATGTGACTTGGCGGTTAAGCACCTCTGGGTTCAATCCTTGGTAAGGACTCTCAGAACTCAACAATAAAATAACCAATCTAATTATAAAGTGGACAAGAGAGATAAAGAGAAGTTTCATTGAATTGATGTTGAACATGAAAAGATGTTCAACATCATTAGACATTAGAAAAGTGCAGATTAAGACCATGATGAGGTACTATTGCAATCATATTTGAATAGCTAAAATTAAAACTATTGATAATGCCAAATACCGGTGAGAATGTGGGGAAATTAGAGTGGGAATACATAATAGCACAATCAACCTTGAAAATAGTTTGGCAGTTTCTTTAAAAAACTATAAACATACACTTACTATGCAATCCAGGAGTTGCATTACTGAGAGTGTATCCCAGAGAAATGAAAACTATGTCCACATAAAAGCTTATATGCTGTCATTCATACAATGTATATTTGTAATAGCCCCAAACTGAATTAACCAAGATGTCCCTCAGTAGATTTATGGCTAAACAAGTTGTGATATTTCCACACTATGGAATACTACTCAGCATTTAAAATAGGCTAATGATACACTCAATAGGTTGGATGCATCTCAAGGGCACTGTGGTGAGTGAAAAAGCCACTTTTAAAAGGTCACATAGTACATGATTCCATTTATGTAACGTTCTAAAAATGACAAAATTATAGAGAGGGAAAAAAAGAGTAGTGGTTGTGAGGGCAGCAGGACCAGGGTAGTAACTCTCAAGGAGTAGCAAGAGTAAGGTCTTCATGAGGATGTAATAGTTCTGTTGATTAATTGGTTACATTCCAGAAATGAAAAAAAAAAAAGCACTAAAACATAATTCTTTACATTAAGAACAAAGCTTTTGGATCCTCAAGTTGAAGGAAGACTGTTCTCTAGTTTCTCTGTGTTCATACCTTCATGGATCTAAATACATATTTCCAGATGGCACTATTCATCCTTGCTAATGTGGCCCTGTGTGTTTCTGAAAACCCAGGGTGCACTGTCAAATCCAGCTACTTTCAGGTGTCTCTGTGAGGACAGCTTCCATCATCAGTTTGAATATGAAACAGGTACTTCCTCAGGAAAAGAATTGAGACTATAAATGTTACACAAATGCTTTGATTTCTCCAGTATACTTACTTACCTTGCTTAATTATCCCAGAGGACATCTATATTGAAAGAGATATTCTGTATCTCGTATGAGAACTATGTCAAGGGTCTAATGTACCACAGAACTAAACCAAGTTCACTAAATAGGACTATATGGGACCATCAGTGCTAAAAATTGTGGCCCTCATAGCACCACTAGTTACACTGCCTTTTAAAACACTATGTGTGCCAGCGGAAGTGGTGACACATGCCTGTAAATCCCAGTGATTAGGAGACTGAGGCAGGAGGATCACAAGTTCAAAGCCAGCCTCAGCAACTTAGCAAGGCCCCAAGCAATTTAGAGAGACCCTCTCTCAAAAAAATTTAAAAAGGGCTGGGGATATGTCTCAGTGATGTAATGCTCCTGGATTCAATCCTGAGTTAAATCACTACCAAAAAAAAACCAACAACAACAACAAAAACGCCATGTGGGCCAAAGAAAGTGGTATATGGTCAAAACAAACCAGCCTGATTCTGGTAAAGAAAAAGCATAAGGACCTCAATTTGTTCCTTTTATTTTATAAGAAGGTTATTAACCAAAAAGAAGACCTTTTCCATATCTAAACATACACATTGAACCATGGACTTCGTACAATTTATTCTTTTTTGGGAAAAGCAAAAAGAAATCTCGATTTTTGCCATAGCCCATTGTGACTCGGGATCATTCTTTGATCTAGTTGCTGATTTTTCTCCTGTAAGAGTGGGCGTGAGCCAGGTGAGGTGGTCCACACCCATAATCCCTGCACCTCAGGAGGCTGAGGCAGGAGGATCGCAAGTTCAAAGCCAGCCTCAGCAAAGATGAGGCGCTAGGCAACTCAGTGAGACCTGTCTCTAAATAAAAATACAAAATAGGGATGTGGCTCAGTGGTCCAGTGCCCCTGAATTCAATCCCCAATACCCAAAACAAAACAAGAGTGGGCATGAGGTGGAGATTTAAAGCTGGAAGGAAAAGAAGTCAAAACAGCCTGAAAAATAAGGTTCATTCATTTTTTAAACACTAGCCAGTGCCGTCCCCACCAAATCATTGTGCAACTAGTTTCAGAATCCAAGGGAGATCTGGCAGCCAGGGGCGTGTTCTCTATCAGTGACTCTGGGTGTAAAGAGAGGCAGGAGGAGAAGCAAGGTAAGAATGAGTGGAGGGAAGGGCTATGCCCAAGGGGTCTAAGAAAACCTAGGAGTGAGCACACTTTTATATTAAAGCCGTTAGCATCCAGCGTTCTGTAAACCGTATTTCAGCACATTACCATCACGTCTTCCCTGATGATCTGGCTTTCTGTTTTCACAGGTGTTTGATGGGAGTGGATCGTTTTTGTCCTACATTAACACATCTGCTGACCCGCTCTACGGCCCCCAAGGCCTAGCCCTAACTTCAGACGGCCATGTTGTGGTTGCAGACTCTGGAAATCACTGTTTCAAGGTCTATCGATACCTACAGTAACGGTGGCCAGCCGGATGTCCCCTCGAGACGGTCTTGCACTATAAACTGGAATGGATTTCTCCACCCGGGACCAGATTATGACTAGACTTTTCATGCTAGAAGGAATCGTTGATGAACTTTCCATGGTTATTTCTGAATGTAACAATTTCCTTAAAAAACTGCTCATCCAATTTCTAAAATTCACCATTAGGGTTTAAAAAAAAAAAAGTCTTCTACTGAATATACAAACTGCGAAGTTTTACACCTGTGAACTATGGCTTATAGGACAGGGATTTATGTAGTTAAATTAATTTTGCAAATCAAACAAACATTAAACAAAAACTAGCATATGTAAAAATATTTGTTGATCCTGTGAATGATAGCCTTTGCGCAGAGCTTCCAAAAACAAATTCTGTAGTCCTTATATACTTTATTTAACCCAGGTCAGAAGACCTGTGGAACCTTCTAACCTCACTTTTACAGTATGGTTTTTTCTTTCTTTCTTTCTTTCTTCCTTTCTTCCTTTCTTTCTTTCTTTCTTTCTTTCTTTCTTTCTTTCTTTCTTTCTTTCCTTCCTTCTTTGGGCGGGGGGAGCTGGTAATCGACAACTACATATTACTTACTTCAGAAAAAAAAATTGAGGCTGTCTTGCAAAATCCTCCCAGCTCTGATTTGCAGACAACACTTGAGTCAATGCAGATTTCCCAGCCTTTCTGGGTTAGATCAAAGATCCTTTCTGTCGGTTCTTTTCACCTTCTCTTTCCTACTCACCTGGTATCAGAAAACAAAGTACATTTTCCGAGAAACCTGAAAATCTCTGATGCTTTGAAAAATCATCTTACAGAAGTAATACTACCTTTCAGTCAACGAATAGCCCCATTAACTCCAGATGAATATACTGGAACGTAATCAAGAAAAGGTCACGTTTTATCTGTGCCATGTTTTCACATGTGTCTTTCTTTCCTCTTCCACTTCATGAAAGCAAGAGCTTTACCTTCTGCATAATGTCAGCACATGTAGTAGGACACCAGTATCCTAGGACAGAGAGCCATAAGCAGCCCTTTGGAGGACCGATGGTGTCAACCAAAGGCATGTGGATTGATTAATGATTTCCCCTTAGCGAGTGTTACCAAAGTTCTGTTATCTCGAGAGCATTACAGGTAAGAGCATGTTATGGTTATTTATCATTGTTCAATGAATAGTAGAGGTATCAAGGGACTATGTATACATGATTAGGGTAAGATAGAATGTATAATATAAATATATATATAGCTTTGGTGTATTGAAATAGGCAGCACTCGGAAAGACAGAAGCATTCTGTCCAGCCATTCTTCAGCACATTCCTTTACTAATGCAGCTCAAGCCGTCCCTTGTGGAGCAAGCCCTAACACAGGTTGGATGTTTGCCATTTCCAGGGAACGATGGTGGTGGCTGATCGTCTTGTGTTTTCAAAAGAGAAGAAAAATGAGAAAAACAGGTCAAAATAAAAGTTGAACTGGACTTACATCTGAACTAAGTATAAATGCATTTTGAGAAATGTTAAGAACAATTTAGTCAACCTGTCATTGATACTGTAAAATAAGATGCAGACTGTTTCCACTGTTTAATTTTCTACTCAGTTCTACCAAACAGGATGTCATGTTTGATGTTTTCAATAATGACTTTGGGATCTTTTTCATTAAAAGCACCTTAGAACTTGTACTATAAGAAAACATTTCCTGTACGTATTATTATATGAATGTGATGCTTATTACTTATTAATTTAAAATTCAGCCATCCTCTATATAGGACTTTTTAAAAATTGGAAGGGAATCTAGCAACTTCCAGTTGTCCATTAAATTTATTAGGCCCAAATCAGCTCTGAAAATAAAGCTTTCTCAGAAAGAGTAACGTTTAGGTTTAGTATTTTTAAATTTTTTTTAATTTTTTAGTTTTTGAATTATCAAGTCTGTGTGATGAAGTTATAAAATCCAATAAAATTTTTAGAATGTTAAACTAAGACATTGTTTCCTAATGCCAGTGAAATAAGTCTTTGATTTTTTTTTTTTTAATTTTTTTCTTGGTGCTGGAAATTGCAAATGTAAGCGCCAGTTCTACCACTGAGCTGCACCTGCAGCCCAAGACTTTGAATTGAAATGTTCCTATTTACAGAGTCCCTTCTAGGTTCTAGGTTCTCTTCTAGGCACTGGGAATAGACTAATAGATAAAACAAACAAAAACATCCCTGTCCCCTTGGAGTTTACATCCTGGGGGAAGGAATTTCATTTTGCCATTTACTATAAAATGTTCTGCCTAAAAGGGAGGCTAGACTCTTAATAGTTCTTGGACTATTTAAAAGAAAATCTTTTAAATTGGTTGTTAATTTTAGTTTATTTTCATAAGTGTAAATGGCTTCCTATTTAAATTCTATCACAGACTGTTGGGTTTTTTTGTTTGTTTGTTTGTTTCTCTGGTTTTGCAGTGCTGGGGACTGAACCAGGGCCTTGACATACTAGGTAAATGCTCTACCATTGAGCTACATCCCCAGCCCTAGACTATTGATTTTAAAACTAGTTTACCTACAGAGGGTTTTCTTTTTTTTTTTCTTTCTTTCTTTTTTTTTTTTTGAAGTACTTATGAACTTAGAAATGAATTTAAAAATTAATCAGCCTCCATCATATCATATCAGGCCAAGTATCTAAATACATAGTTAATTTATTTCCATGTCAATTTTGGCACAAACTGGAATGGATGTATAGATAGTTTGATTTGGACCTGTTCCACTGTCTCTTAACTAAACCTATGCTATGGGCACTCCAGGAAACACTATATTTTTCCCCCAAAATATGTAATCATATATATTAAAATATAGATAACATTTCATACCTGGATACATATGTGCATTTACTGTATTTCTGGTGAGCATATTTTGGGGAGAAAGTGCTGCTGATAAGATACAAATAGATAAGATTTAAATGAAATTTTGTCACATTCTATGGAAAATGGTTTCTGGTAAACTGAGAAGGATATTAAAATAAGTGGCTTTTATTCTGGGCTACCATTATTATTTGGTTTCGCTTTGTCAAGTGTATAGAACCTGTCATACATTCATGATAAGTAGCACTGAGAAAGTACTCACTCAAAATTCCCCCGGGCACTTATGGCATAGTATTGCCAATTAGGATTTGAAGGTCAGTGACAATGCATTTTCCCCCAATACAGACCTCCCCTGCTGGACATGGGGATGGAGGGAGTTACTTGACCATCCTGAAACACATAAATAAAAAGCCTTTATGACTGTGTTTGCCATTTTTTTAAATGGCATATAGTATTTTGGTGAAGTTTTAGACCCCATAATTAAACAAGTCTCCAGGTTTCCTTAAGACTAGATTTAAGGCCAATTAATACCCCAGATCCATGCAACTATTGCACACTTGCTTCCACTACTAAATATACAGGGTATCCTAGAATGGAATTAACTGGAATAGTAGTACCTTACTTAGTATCTATGGATCCTCATACTGAAGGGTCAACATAAATGCTTAGGTAATACCTACTGAATAAATTGGAGGAAACAGCAAGTCAACAGCAAATAATCTGCAGATCACTTCAAATGGAAAAAATCTTTTTGTACATTTGAATACTATGACATCCTCTCTATTCACCAGCTTCTGAAAAGGGAGGAGTGTTTTTAGTTGAATAATTTAAAAACAAGGCATTTCCAGGCAGGATAAAATTGAAGCTATTTGATGCAGACCTTATCTAATTTTGCTTTACCGGAAGTCGTATAATACTGTTGCTTTCTGTAAATGTTGCAGGGTTTTAAACTTTACAATTATTTTTAATATTTTTGATATCTAGGAATCTAGCATTGCCATAAAGGAAACTAAGTGCCCATTAAAGATTTATTTGGTATAAATACTTTTTTGTTTTGTTTTAAATGACAGTAAGCTACAAATCATGATGCTAATCTTAAAAACTTTCTAAAGATGAATTGTGTGGCAGTGATTGTGTGATCTGTTTGTGGAGAATGTATGAAAGCTATTAATATTCTAGAATAGGTTAATAAATTGGCTATGTTGTTCCAATGAATGTACAGCACTTCCATTAACTTTTGAAAGCAACACAGCCTTAAACTCAACTCAATGCTTTTGCTTTATGACATGGGGAATGTTCTGTCATCAAGAGTGTTTTTGGTTTTTTTGCAGTGCTGGGGATCAAACCCAGGGCCTCGAGCATGGTAGTCAAGCGCTCTACCACTGAGCTACTCCCCAGCACAATAGTGTATTCTCATAACAGAATTCTTCTTCTTGTATCATTCTCAACTCTATAGCCTTTCAATCCAAGGTATGAGTATGAAGGGTTTTTGCTTCCTTTGTTTTCTTTTTAGATTTTGTACATTCCATCTTTATAGGTCCGTTTCATATGTTTTGTGTATAGAACACTAAGTCTTGCGCTCTCTGACATTGATACTGATATATTCTTACCATTTGTTATTTTATGAATCAAAATGCTGACTGCCTATTTAAAGAATGAACGCTGTGCATCAAAGTGTTTGTATGTTCGTAGCTACATACGTACCACAGTATTTTGGATGCTTTAGTCTACAATAAAACTTTAAATTAATTCTGTCTTGAAACATAGGAGAAACAAGACTCGTGTATATCTTTACCATGCACAAAAAAATCTCAAATCATTATAATAAAGCTTGTTTTCTCCATTTCTAGAGTGAATGTTTATTTATTTAACAAATTATTTCCCTGCGAGAAGGGGACTAAAGGAATATTCTAGAATACATGGAAGATGGCAATAATTCAAACTGTTTATATTAATGAGAAGAAGCTTAGTAAAATTTTTGTTGGTTATGTTGCCAACCATCTGTTAGCATTTAGGATGCATGTTAATCAAGAATTTGCAAAATCCTGACACACATGTCCAGCATATGTATTTAGAGAGTTATAAAAGTGAAAATCATTGTCTTTATAATCCTTAAAGAACTGCAAGATAACAGGAACGTCCACAGTCACAGCAGACACATTTCTATAGACCAAAGGACTTGAGAGCGAACTCGCTACAAACATTGTGTTTAGGGCCCAGAATTTAATCACATAGAGTTCATTACGATAAAACTTTCTATGTCATATCAAGCAACTGGCCATGTATTGCAAGCACTAGTCAAATCATCTAGAGAACACAACTTCTGGTGCACCAGACTTTCAGCTAAGTGTAAGGGATACAAAGATGAATAATGAACACACCTGGACAGCCCCCTGGACTTCAGTCTTTGGAGAACCCTGATGATAAATGTATAAATGTCACATCTTTTCAAAAAAGTTAGTTTTCACGTCCTCAAAATGTTTCTTAAGGGCTGGAGATGTGGCTCAGTGTGGACCACTTGCATGGCATATGTGGGGCACTGGGTTCGATCCTCAGCACCATGTAGAAGTGAATGGAATGAAGGTATTGCATCCATCTACAGATAAATAAATAAATAAAATCTTAAATATAATCTCTATTAATAATGTCAAAGTTGTCATTTAAATTCCTTTATCTAGGGGCCCGTATCTTTTCCACAATTATGTGTGGTGTCCAGGCTTGGTGCTTACTCTTTTGTCTTCCTGTAAGTGACTCTTACCTCTCTCTGTTGTTTGTAAGCAACTTTCCAGCTTGTTTTGCATGTTTACATGTTTGCATATATTTTTCATACATTTCCAGATACATTTGTAGACTTTAATCATTAAGCTTCTGATTCATATTTACTGTGACAGAATGAACACTAAAATTCATCTAAGTTTGAGATTAAATTTAAGTATCCTTTGTGAACAATGCAGGATTTTTTGTTTTCTTGAGGGTTCAAAAACATTCAGAATTGATTGGAACTCTGAAAGAGGAAACCTAAGTTAGAAGGAGAGATGAAACAACAGAAATTAGAGAAAGATCCCACATGACACCATTGACTACTGACTGTGAATATTAATATTGCTGAATCCTACTTCTATTCTTCACTTATTTTTTTCTTTACCCACGGAGGTACCCTTACCATTGTGCCCCCTTGGAGTCTTTCAGACTCAGCAGGGGTGGGAGGTTCAGCATATTTCAGATGGCCCATTTGGAACATATTTCACATAAAGCCAAATACATCTCTCTGACGAGAAGAGTTCATTTAAGCTACAGGTTGCTATTGCCCAAATTAGGAGACAGGCAGGGCAAATAGACATTCGGTCCTCTATTCATCCTAGTGGTTTGTTGTTGTTGTTGTTACCGTGGTCGCTGAACAATTATCTAAGCACTTGTACACCAGATTTTCAGCTAAGTGTAAGGGATATAAAGATGAAAAATGAAGACTGTTCCTTCCAAAAGCTTACAGTCTGGTTGGTGAAACAGATCAGATACTTACAATACTATAATCTGTTTTTTAAGTATTTATAAAATATTTTAGCAATATATGCTAATATATATCCATTAGCCAATATTTATTGAGCAAGGTATGTTCAACACTTCAGAGGAAATAGCAGTAAGTAAGAGTCCCTGCTGGTAACGTAGCTCAGGGATAGAATATTTGTCTAGCATGCACGTGGCCCTAGGTCCAATTCCTAGAACTCTAAAGGAAAAAAAGAAGTCCCTGTTCTCATGGAGCCTTATTCTACTGAGTCAATAAATGAATGTAAATGGGGCCCACTACATAATTTGTGGGGCCTAGTGTGAAACATAATCACGGGATCCATTGTTTAAAAGCATGGAAAAGGCTTTTCCCTTTCTTCTGGGGTCTCTCTAACTGATCATGGTATTTTTCTTTTGCATTTTAATGTCACACTCCCTTGGCATGGGGACACTTGCTGGTTGAATGTAGTTTCATTGGCACTGGGTGCCACAACTTGCAACTCAGATGTCCCACACTCAAGCTCAATGAGTCGGAGAGAGGATGGGTTGTCCAGGGAAGAACAAATAGTTGAACATGGCAAGACCACAGAAAGCTCAAGAAGAGGCCAGGTGGCACATGCCTGTAATCCCAGTGGCTCAGGAAGCTCAAGCAGTAGGATTTCAAGTTCAAAGCCAGCCTCAGCAACTTTGTGAAGCCCTAAGCAACTTAGTGAGACTCTCTCTAAATAAAATATGAAAAAAAGGGCTGGGGATGTGGTTGAGTGCCCCTGAGTTCAATCCCCGGTACCAAAAAACAAGAAGAAAGCTCAAGAAGAAATGATGAGCAATGAGGCAATTTTACCATCATTCGTTCGATATATATATCACCAGTTACTTCATATTTTTCTTATATCTCCTTTATTTTTTTAACTATCACAGTACCTACTTTAACCATATCATGACCAATACATGAGAAAGATAGGATATGTTAATTACATTTTTTCTAGTACATATTAAAACATTTATTACTTAGATACCCATTTACTATTTTCAAATTATGTCCTGTATCATATAAGGCTCTTTAAGAAAAACTGAATTAATGAAACTGCAGTTCAATGTACCCCTTCTCCTGCTTTCATAAGAAGCAACAAGGACTACAAATTCTTATTTTAGAGGTCATTAAGTCTTTAGTAAAATTGTTATGCTTTATAATAATTCAAAAATCCATATAAATTTAAAACACTTCAACTTTTGGCAAATATATATATTTTTCAGTGTTTTTCAGGAGAAAGGACCCAGGCATTTGCTCTAAATCTGCATCTACTACCATAGGGAACCATATTTTTGATCCACTTGATTTTAAATTCATTGGATTTTTAAAATATTTTTATTTATTTATTTATTTATTTATTTATTTTTTTAAAGAGAGAGAGAGGGGGACAGAGAGAGAGAGAGAGAGAGAGAGAGAGAGAGAGAATTTTAACATTTATTTATTTTTTTCTTAGTTCTCGGCGGACACAACATCTTTGTTGGTATGTGGTGCTGATCGAACCCGGGCCGCACGCATGCTAGGCGAGCTCGCTACCGCTTGAGCCACATTCCCCAGCCCATATTTTTATTTATTTTTATGTGGTGCTGAGGATAGAACTCAGTGCCTCACACTTGCAAGGCAAGCGTTCTACCACTGAGCTACAGCCCCAGCCTCAAATTTACTGGGTTTTACTTTTTTAAAAACCTAAGGGAAAAACAAGAATACAAACAAACTGGTTTTTAATTTTACTTTTATTTTTTTGACAGCACAGGGGTACTCGACCACTGAGCTACTTCACCAGCTCTTTTTGTTTCGAGATAGTCTCCTGGTATTGCCCAGGCTAGCCCCAAACGTGCCATCCTCCTGCCTCAGCCTCCAGAATAGCTGGAATTGTAGGTGTGTGCCAATGCATTCCAAAATTGCCTATTTTTTAAGTCAAATTAAGGTCCGACTGCCATTGCGGAGAGGAAAATGCACGTAAAAACAAAGACTCAAAACT